AATATTTAAATCCTCATCGACATTTAAACATTAGATTGTCTTTTTGTTTTTTTAATCTCCCAAAGTAAAGATACAGTTCAGATCTACGCTGCCTTTGTTAGTAAAGGGACAGTGATTCTTGTCACAGATTAAGGCAATTCCAAAATAGGTTTTTCAGAAAATAAGAAAAAATTTTTTTTATCACTCTTAAGGTTAGAAATTAGTTGAACAATATCTATTGAAATTATGTGGTACAGTTATTATAACAAGATAAAAATACTTAGAAATTGGAACTTCAAGTTAAAGACTCCAAATAGAAACTCTCTGGTATTTTTTAGGCTGTGGTGAACGATAACCTATTTACCAATCACTTCTCACTGTCCCTATTGTTAATTATAAGAAAGGTGTGTTAAAAGTCTCTGAGCACCTTTGCTGAAAATGACCTTTGAAACACGAGTATGGGTGTAGGAGAACAAGTATTAAATGGAAAATGAGTTTCTCCTTGAAGGTTTGAGTGTTTTTGATGGAGCAGCTGTTAAGTACCACAGGGCTTGGATGACTATCTGTACTCTGGGGTAGGTATATCATATCTTTCCTTTATAAAACATTTCGAACATGGAGGAATGTATATTTATCAGAGACTATAATTTTGGATGACCTTCCGGTTTCATCTCATGCAATTAGATTGCGGCTGATTCAAATACATAGCATTTTGAAAAAAGTACTTGTTCAAACTATTAATCAATTAGTTATCATATGAAATCTACTCCAGAACAACTGCACTCATTATAGCCGAAACAGGAAAGAGGAAAACTATAATATGGCTAAGAAGTTATAGAATTTGTTTTAAAAATCTACTCCATCTTTAATATAGTCATTTAATCCATTGTGCTGGTATTTGGAAAACATTTATTTCTCAATTGTTTGTTTTTCAATTCCATTTTAAGTTTATAACAATTTTTTTGGAACATGTACAGGGTAGATAGACTGTAGCTACGGCTTTTACTGAAGGCATGGGATTTTAGTGGTTCATTTTTAAAAAGATTGTGAAGGGAGTCTGCACTATATTATGGTTTTTACACTGTGGGATTTAAGCCCGAGTACCATGTTACAAGGTGCTAAGAGAGGGTCAGCTCAGTTCATCACTCTGAGAATTGCAGCAGGATCATTTTGCCATTCCTTCTCAAGACCTAAAAATAAAACAGTACACTGTTGAGTTTAAAGTGTTGTCTTACTATATTGGTAGCCTTTATTTCTCGAAAATTGACCTACACCTTTGGAAGGAAAGCAATCACAGGAGCCAGAAGGTGGACCCTGAATGACCACATCCACATCACTTGAAATATTTACGTGGTAGAAAAATTAAACCAGAAAGAAAGTTGGGGCAAGTGCACGACTAATAAGATCTTCGTTTAAACTCTGTCCCCTGTGTTGTATGTGCCCGAGGCAGTAGGGAAGGCACCACATACTCTTTGCTTCCCCATGAAATCCAAAGGCCTCTGTCAGCTCAGAGACCTTGAGAGAGATAAATCAGAGAAACCAAACTAATTTGGTTATGAAATTCATTCATTTATTTTTTCACTGGCTCCAAATAGCTTGAGTAATTTAAATAACAAGACTGCTAAATAGATTTCCCACTTGAGATGGGCAAATTAATTCTTCCCTCATTAAAAAAATATTTATTGAGAACTTTTCTGTGTCAGGCATTGGGCCAGATTCTGGAGATACAGTGGTAGCAAAAACAACTTAGAACTCTACTATGACAGGGCATTTTCTTTGATTTAGGAAAAAAAGCCCCACCAAATACACCAAATAGAGCTGAATATATTGATCAGCGTCCATCCCTATGATAAAAGGTTGAGATGATTACAGAATTTACAAGGTGTTCTTTCCCCCCCATTTTTATTCCTGCTTTGCTGTAAAGACTCAAATGTTTTCTTATCAGAAGGCCTGACTGTTCCATTATTCCATAAAGGAATTCCATAGAGTAAGACTTATAGGATGACATTTAAAAATTGTCTAAATAATCCAAGCACTGTATCAATTGTGTAATGGCCAAGATCTGGTTTAAAATCTCTTTTGTAATAATGCTCACAAGGAATGTCAGGGTAGGGAAAGGAGGAAAGGAAGGAGTAACATGAGTACAAGCATTCCAGATCAACTCATCTACAGCTTACTGACCAACAAATCTCCTATGTCTTGTGTCATTTCCAGTTTTTGTTACCATCTTATTTGGTCACTTAAAAATTTTTACTTGATGCCAAAACCAAAGGTAAATTTGGGGAGGGACCTAACCACAGTCAAGTGAATTGCATCTTTTAGCTCCAAAATGATGTTTTCTGTAATAGCAGAGTGGAAAAATAGAGTATCAGGGAACACACAGTGGTCCATATGACTGTGCAAGCCCTCATTGGCAGATGCAATTCTTTCTTAGAGGCACTGAAGATCTCTTTGCAGCTACCATTGCAGAACCTCATGTTTTCTTGGCTGAAAAGCAGCAGTAATGCAAGATTATTTGATGCTAGTGGCCAAATAAAGACTTATTAAGCTGATTCTCCACCAGAAGGAAGAAATGGTCACAGATAGTCAGAGGGTGACCAGGAACCTAGACGTTTGCTTGGATTTTTGATAAGACTGAGAAGCAGGGCTCTTTGGGTCTTTCATGAGAGGGAGAGGGACTCTTTCCTTAGGTTAGAATTGCAGCAGGTCTCTACCTTCTAAAATCACTATCAGGAAGATGCAAATTGGTGACCGTGAGCTCCTGTGGATCCAGCTTTCTTATCTTTTGAGTCTCACTTCAGTGTGATCTCTTCCATAAAGTTTTCCTTAATTTTTTAACTCACAGTAATTTCTCTCTTTGCATCCAAGTCCTCTCCTCTGCCACCAAGTACTATGATGGCTCTTACATCATTTACATGTCTGGACTTCATAACTAAGACTCTTGAGGGCAGGATCCCCCAAGTACCTACTCTTTACTGTGCCCAACATAAACCAGGTACTCAAAATGATGTTAATGACTAAATGGGTAAATCTGACCGTGAAGTGAAGAAGACCTTACATTCCTCAAGTAAGTAGATGGTAGGTCACTACCTGCAGAGGAAGTAGGGTTTCTTATGGCCTTGGCAGGGAGGGAGATCAGAAAAGTCTAAGGACAAAGTTGGGATGGAGACTATTGACCACGGCAGTTAAAGAACATACATACAATGTACACTGAAGTTGGAGTGTAGCTTTTCAAATCATTATCCGTACAAGTATTTGTTGCATATTTCAATAGGATGTCAACCACGTCAAAATGTTCCCTTGGCATAAAGAGTATACTTTTTTCTATGAAGAGCTTTCTTTTATGCCCTTTTACTGAAAAATCAAAGTAGGCAGGTCTGCTATTAGTATCCTCATTTTACATGCTAGGATGCTGAAGTAGGTGAACGACTCAGTGTTTTGTCCTCATTTCTTTAGGTATCTGCCTCCTCATAATTAGGGAGTGCCAGAAATACTGATCTTATACTATTTTCCCTAAGACTGCACTCAGAAGTCAGAAATGAAAACCCAACTTGTATTATTAGTAGCCATCATTTTGTAAGATATCAGTGTTCAAAAAAACACTTAAGGTCTCATGTAAGTCCAAATTGTTATCATTAATCAAGCGACATGAAAGAGGTTGTTCTGTTTTATAGGCTCATGACATTAGGATATTAAAAAAGGCTGGGCTGCATCACCTAACTTGAGTTTGGTGATATGTTTGATAGTGTTCTATGAAGTCTTTCTCATTAAATTTGATTTGGCTTGTGTTGTAATATTGTGGTTTTTGACAGGAACACAGGTAAACAAAGTTAATTATCAAAATAAATCAGGTTGGAAATAAGGAAGGAGGGAAGTCATTGAGTTCCTGCAGGGACAAGAGCTTAGTTCATTTTTTAAAAAAAATTTGATTTTCTATTTTCCACGAAAAATTTAGCTTTAAAAAAATACAAATCTATTGAAGATCAAGCTTCTATATATGGGGTACCTGCCACAGAGGAACACTGGTGTTAAGTATAATTAAAGTAGATCCTATTTTCACTACTTTATAGATGAGGAATGTCAGGCATATTGAGAAAACTGCCTAGTCCAGTTTCTGTAGAGAATCACTAGTGGCCCAAGTGACAATCTATATTTTTGCCCAGACCACTAAAATACACTTTCCAAGAGGGTGATACTACTTTCAGAGTTCACAGGTTATGCAAAGAAGAAAATCCAAATTTTTCAGAAACCATAATCCCTCTTTTTAAGTCATTAAAAATTTGTATATCTATATTAAAAACCACACAAATCTGAATTCATACTTGGTACTTTCAGTTATAGCTAAGGATAAAAACAACACTAGCATCTATTTAGAATGGAAAAAACATGTTTGTATGAAAACAAGTATTTCATCATCAGTGTATTTCATACCGTTTGCAATTCAGCCTAGGTTCTTTATATTTTTCGTTTCCAATAGAGATTAGAATTTTAGTAGGCCAGAAATATAAAAAAGACGGCATTAAAATATCCTATATGATGGTAATCCTATTTTAAGGACTTTTCATGCTGATTTTGTGTTCTGAGCTATAGTCTTCATAGAGACTAAATTAGAGTGAGACTGGACAACAGAACAAAATAGAAAAGGGAAAACTCATGTCGGCAGTTGAAAACCAGTTGTGTAAAGCAAGGCCTAAAAGTCCTTATCTCTGGCATGTTCAGTATGGAATGCACAGTTGACTGTCATTCAGCTACTAGAGGAAGGTATTCTACAATGAAAGATAGCCCTATCAAAACAACAATTAGCTGGCTTCCTACACAGGGAATAGCAGTTGGTTAAGTAAGACTGAAGTGAGAGTTCTTACTAGTGTTCTCAGAAATGACTTACCCATCATGAGTATTTGGCCAACTGGTTAGGTCTAGCATGAACATGTGATTTCTGAAGGAATGAGTTAGGATCTGCTAAAGTGTTTCAAAGGAGCACCTTAGTAGAAACTGATCTCTAAGTAAAAATCATCAATTTATTTAATTTTCAAGAAAAAATTTTAATATGCATGTTATTCCTTTAAGTTTTACATCATGCTCATTCTCCTTAGATTGTTTAGGGTGCCTAAAAATTTTTATTGTGCCTAAAAATTACAGTAAGGTGAAATAAAAGATTCAAACATGGTTTCATAATACATGGAAGATGAGATCTCATATTTATAGCATGTAATTTGATTCTTATATATGCATGATTAATCAAAATTGTGTTCTAAATGACAACTTGAAATTTTTTGAATTGCACTAAGCAACACTATTGTGTACCATTTATTTTAACATGGATATTTTTATAATTAGCTTTATTAACAGTATAACATTTTCATGCATTCTTAAATTTTACCCTAGTTTTAGTATTCAGTGTTCGATTCAGTTCAAATCAACAAATATTCAAGGAAACATGACAGAAGAATGAAATGAGATTACGTTTTTACATAATCAGCTAAATTCTTTTTAAGAGTAAAAAGTTAATATGGGATTTAAAAACCTAAATTTCCAATGTTACTGTCAATTTAACCATATGTATATTAGTTAGGCCACAGGACTGCCCATTAGTCTTTCCTGTCGAAGGGCAATTAATCTCTTGAACCACTTTTCTTCAGCATCAGCTTTCTCAATAAATAACTGAAACAAGAAAAGAAAAAGAAAAAAAATGTTACTGTCTGTCAATAACAGATTTGACCTAATATGACACAAATAATCTTTATAGAATATATCTCTCAGCACAAGATTTGGATACTGTTTAACTCTTGATGACTTCTTAATTGAAGACCACCTATTTGGAATTAATAATGTTCGGAAAGTCTTGGAGTAAAAGGACTAATATCAACACCACTGGTTAACAATTTTGCACCTTTTTTGTGAAGTTTTATTCTACAACTTTTCTTTTTTTTCCTTTTTTTTAAAAATCTTTTATACTGACTGGTAACGGGATCACAACCCTCGGTGTCGCGCCCGCACCGGGGACCGGCAATGGGATCACAACCCTCGGTGTCGCGCCTGCACCGGGGACCGGCAACGGGATCGCAACCCTCGGTGTTGCGCCCGCACCGCGCTCAACCAGTGAGCGGGAACCGGTCTCCACATGGGATCCGAACCCTCGGTGGGAGCGCCGCCGCGCTCTCAGGCGGCGCACTCTCCAGTGCGCCACTGGGCCGGCCCGATATTCTACAACTTTTCTGAGACAAAGTACAATCACACCATTTCACAGAAAACAGCAAAATACGTTAGTGACATCACCACAGTCAGTCAATGAACACACTACAGCTAAACCAGAATTAGAACTTCAGCTAGACTTCAGTTGATATTCTTAAGGTTTAAAGGATCTTACATTAGGATGAGCCAGAGAATTGTCATCTTGGTACTTGATCGCAGTAGGGATGCTGGTGGGGTCTACTTCTTTTTCAATACTGGGCGGTTCAGCAACTACTGATGTTGGTCCTGATGTTGAAGTTCCATGTTTCACTTCACTAGGTTCCACTGACTGAAAGATAACAACCCATATTAATTTGAACACAATATGTACTTAGAATTTTGCTTTAATAATATTTCTGATTTTGAATTATTGCTCAGTTAGTCTCCTTTGAGATGATACTCATCTCACAAAGGCCCTACATTATGTTACTGAATGAGAAACAATTATTCCTAAAACAAACCAATATAAAAACGTTGGGGAAATGTTTATCATTTCTTATGATTAGCATATTTTTCTTAAGAAATTGGTACTTATGCGTCTATACTATTAAAAAATATATATATTTAATACATCTAAATTCTATTAATCAAAACGAGCTTACAACAAATCTCCAGCATTCAGTTGGCCTCTTTGTATAAAAAGCAAATTCAAAGGTTATCTTTTTTTTTTATTTTTTTTATTTTGTCTTTTTGTCTTTTTCCGTGTCCGGCAACGGATCGCAACCCTCAGTGTTGCCCCCGTACCGGACCGGGGACCGGCAACGGGATCGCAACCCTCGGCACCGCTCCCGCGCCTCGCTCAGCCAGTGAGCGGGAACCGGTCTGCATGTGGGATCCGAACCCTCGGGCGGGAGCGCCGCCGCGCTTCCCAAGTGGCGCACTGTAGCAGTGCGCCACCGGGCCGGCCCTTTTTTTTAAATAACAGTCTTACTGGGCTGGCCCGGTGGCTCACTCAGGAGAGTGAGGTGCTGATAGCACCGAGGCTGCAGGTTCAGAACCTATATAGGGATGGCCGGTGCGCACACCGTGCAGAGGGTTGCGATCCCCTTACTGGTCAAAAAACAAAACAAAACAAAACAAAACCCCAGAACCAAAAACAGTCTTACTAAGATACAATTCACATACAATTCACCCATTTAAAGTACACAATTCAATGGCTTTTAGCACACCCACAGAGTTGTACAAGTATTATCAGAATCAACTTTAGAACATCATCATCCCTCCTAAAACCCATACCCATTAGCAATCACTCCCCATTTCTCCCAACCTTCTCATCCCCAGGCAACTACCAATCCACTTTCTCTATAGCTTCTGGACATTCCATAAAAGGAATCATACAATATGTGGTCATTTGTGACACACTCTTTCATTTAGTATAATTATTTTTTATTTTTTATTATTTTTATTTATATATATTTATGGGGTACAGAGTTGACTATTAGTATTTGTGTACAGTATGTGATGATCAAATCAATATTATTAGCATGTTCATCATAACAAATCATAATTACTTTTTGTATCTCTTTCTCAATTACTCCGTGTCTCCCTCTCCCCCTTTCCCACCTCTAGTAATGATAGGTCTGTTTTCTCTTTCTGAAAGTTCAATGTTTTATTATGGTCTTTCTTTATTTCTTAGCTCCCACTTGTGAGCAAAGACATAGTATTTCTCTTTCTGTGCCTGACTTATTTCACTTGATGTAATTTTCTCCAAGCTCATACATGTTGCTGCGAATGGCAGAATCTCATTCTTTTTGTAAAGTTCATCCATGTTGTAGCATGTATCATCACTTCATTTCTTTTTACTGCTAAATAATATTTCATTGTATGGATTTACCACATTTTGTTTATCCATTCATCAGTTGACAGACTCAAAGGTTACCGTTTATTTATTTATTTTTGCCAAACATATCAGCTCTTTTTATTTTCTTCTGTGTTCTCCAATTTTTGACCAAAAGCATACTGACAGTTTGTAAAAATGATAGCAGTCTCTGCTCAAAGCTACTTAGAACATTTAAAAATTAATATAAAAGTTTGGAAAAAAGATACGTGATATCTTTCGTAAAAAATAAAACTCTAAGGGGATCCAATAAAGATGATGTAATAGACGGTTCCCAGCATCACTCTCTCCCACAAATCAACCAATTTACAACTATAAAAATGTAACATCAGCCAAGCTGGGGCCGCTGGAGCTCAGGGGAAGAGGAGAGACCTTTGGAGTTCACCAAGGAAGGAGAAACTATGATGAGAGAAAGAAAAAGCTGCTCTGAGCATTTCGGGCTGCAGCTGCTTTAAGGCTCGAGCTGATGAGCGCATGGAGCAGGAGCCAGCAGGAGCCGCAGCTGTGCCCTTCAGATGGCGTTACTTGGAGGCAGCAAGAGAGAAGAGGGCCTTGGCGGCCCCCAGGACAAGACCACTAATAGGGTTCCTGTGGACCCACGCAGGAGCGAGGAGCCAGAACAACTGAAAAAAGGGAGCCACTCAGATGCCAGTGAGTCATTGCAAGTGACAGGCGCAGGGACCATCTCATGGGAAGTGCTTGCAGCAGGGGCGGTGGGGGAGACGTGCCCACCAGGGGAACACTGGGACACAGCAAGGACAGCTGATCTGACCCCCAGTTAGCACAGGACCACTCAGAGGAGACTGGTCAGGAATGCAGAATTGCATGGGGTGCAGTTTGATGAAAAAACTCAGGCCCAGATCAGAGTGTCTACACAATCCAGGTGCACCAGGTCTCTGGAGAGCTGGAAGTACCTATAAAGTCAACCATTAAACCTGAGCTGCACAAAAAGCCTTCCCTAGGGAAACAGCAGCAAAGTAGCAATTTAAACAACCACACAGCTCAAGTACTGGTTCCCACAGGAAGTTCCCCCATGTTAGAAGCAAAGGACAAAAAATTAATTCCGGCCCAGGCACACCACCAGCACCTTGGGGCCTGCCTGGGAACTGGAGCCTTGGATCTGGGGACCGGACCCCACTCCCACTTCCAGGCACACTGCACCAGTGCCTTGGGGCCAGCCTGGGGACCTGAAGCATGGAGAAGGGGACTGGACCCCCCCTCCCACAACCAGGCACATCATGCCAGCACCGTGGGGCCTGCCCAGGGACCCAAGGCAAGGAGAAGGGGACTGGACCTCTCTCCCACAACTAGGCACATTGAGCCTTGGGGCTCACCCAGGGATCTGGGGAATGGAGTTGGGGACCAGACCACCCTCCCACAACCAGGCACAACATGCCAGCACCTCAGAGCCCATCCAGGGATCCAGGGCATGGAGAAGGGGACTGGACCTCTCTCTCACAATCAGGCACAACATGGCAGCACCTCGGAGCCCACCCAGGGACCTGGGGCAAGGAGAAGGGGAATGGTCCTCTCTCCCACAACCAGGCACACCATGTCAGAGCTTCATGGCCCACCCAGGGACCCAAGGCATGGAGACGGGGACCAGACCTCTCTCCCACAACCAGGCACACCAAGCCAGTGCCTTGAGTCCCACCCAGTGACCCGAGGCATGGAGCCAGGAACTAGACCCTCCTCCCACCACGAAGCACACCACGCCAATACCTTGGGGCCCACCCAGAGACCCAAAACAAGAAGAAGGGGACTGGACCTCTTTCCCACAACCAGGGACACTGTGCCAGCACCTTGGGGCCCGCCTGGCCCAGAGGCATGCAGAAGGGGACTGGACCCTCCTCCCACACCAGGTACAAAATGCCAGCACCTTGGGGCCCACCTGGGTACACGAGGCATGGAGAAGGGGACCGTACCCTCCTCCCACAACCAGGCACACTGCACCAGTACCTCAGGGCCTTCCCAGGGACCCGGGACATGGAGAAGGGGACTGGACCCCTCTCCTACGACCAGGCACATGGCGCCAGAGCCTTGGGGCCTGCCCAGGGACTACAGCCATGGAGAAGGGGACCAGACACACCCCACAACCAGGCATATCGCCAGTGCCAAGGAGCATGCCAAAAGTTGCACCTCCATGTGGGTGGCCCACCACAGCCACTGCAATAACCATGGCTGCTGCAAAAGTGGCTAGACGCCACAGCCACCACGCAGGTGGTCCGCCAACCACTGGAGTGCATTGACACAAGAAGAGTCACCAGCAGAGACAAAGAAAAGAAGAGGATGTCTCTTTCCACAAAACCCATTTCAGAGTGACAGAAGAAGCATCTGCTCTATGATAATATTGGGGGACCTGATCACATCTCTCAGCATAGGACAGATCATCTAGGCAACAAGTTAACAGTAACCATTATTCTTTCAGAAGGAGAGAAGAAAACTAGGGCAATTAGAGGGGGCAGGGGGATGCAATGGGGGAAGGGGAGAGGTTGGACAAGGGGCATAAAGAATAATTACAATTTATAACAATATATATGCCAGTAATATTGATTTAATCAACATATCTCAATGTTCAACCTTTGTAATATATATGCTAGTAATATTGATATGATCGACATACCTCAATATTAACCCCCAAAATATGTACCATTGATTTCGATTCAATAAATAAAATAAAGAAAAAAAAAAAACCCCTAAGATTTCTTACACTATCTTGGAAAGTGTGGACATTTAATACATTCTATATTTACTGAGTGTTTCCCAGACTCTGTGTAATGTACTAAATGCTGGGGACACAAAGACTAATAAATCATTGTTCCTGCCTTGAAGGAGACATAAGTATATTGCTTATTGAAGAAATTTCAATACTTCTTTCCTGAGAAAGGAGAAGGCCAGGGAAGTGAATGATTGGCAGCAAAATTGGGGGATAATATACAATGAATTAGATGAGAAGCTGAAATTAATGGAAGATTATTTCCACCACGTAGCCTTTCCCTACACCTACAGGTTCTACACCTATTGGTTTTCAATTTCCACTTTTTTTTTACTTATCTACTTCTGAACATGCACTTTTCTTTTTTTTTTTTTTTCCTTTTTGTCTTTTTTCGTGACCGGCAACGGATCGCAACCCTCAGTGTCGCGCCCATACCGGACCGGGACCGGCAACGGGATCGCAACCCTCGATGTTGTGCCCGCACCTCGCTCAGCCAGTGAGCGGGAACCAGTCTGTATGTGGGATCCGAACCCTCGGCGGGAGCGCTGCCGTGCTCCCAAGTGGCGCACTGTAGCAGTGCGCCATGGGGCCGGCCCCTGAACATGCACTTTTCTGAATGAAGTGTAAATTAGATGTCACCAGGAAAAACATCTAGAGAACAAAGTATGCATGAATTAGTTAATCCTTCCTTAGGTAAAATTATTTTAGAATTGGAGATCCATCTATTTAACCAATA